TGACCAATTTGCTCTGAACTCAAGGAATACTTTCAGAACATTAGCTTAAAACTGAACTTGAGATTGGATACAACTTTAAGAAAGTACCTACACACACAGCACTGAGAGGAGGGAGGGACATGGTCTTGGTTAGAAAATGTGAGTATTACATAGCCAGAGGGACTTCGAAAAACAAAACAAAGGAAAAAAAACTAAACCAACAAAACCCAGACCTTAGGCTCTTGCTGTAACTTGTTTGGTACACAAACCACCTTGTTACTAGACAGCCAACTACTTATGGGTGTGGAGCACACAGCACAAAGAGTTCTATGTGCAGGTTATACCAATAATCTCAGTGTAGACACACTGAGTATCCCCCCACTATATGTGGAAAAAAGCAACACAATTCACTTGTCTCTAAGCTTTCCAGAGATGACTCCTTCATCCCTACAGAGAAGCTGCAAGTTTGAGCTTTTTATCTCCAGACTTGGTCATCATCTTTCCTTCTTTCTCCCTACTAGCATCTTCAGCATTACTCACTTCCTGTGCTTTAAGAATAACATTTTGAGAGGCAAATGCTTCTACACTGTTCTTATTTCACTCTTGCACGTTTGTCTCATTTCAGCCAGCTTTTCAAAAGGTAATCATTACCTTTCAGGTTCCAAGTCAGAAATTCACTGAACTGTGCTGTTTTCACAGAATCACAGAAGTGTGGGCTCCCAGGAAAGCAGAGCAGAGGGGCAGAATCATATCCCTCACCCTGCTGGCCACACTGCTTTTGATGCAGCCCAGGATGCAACTGGCTTTTGGGGCTGCAAGTACACGTTGTTGGGTCACGTCCAGCTTCTCACCCACCAATCCTTGGACTTAAAAGTATGATGGTGTCTTTGCTTCTTAATCCTGCACAGTAAGGGTCCAGAACCAAATGCCTTTTTAAAAACAATGCCCTTCACCTATTTGTTCAATATTGCCCTTCCTCAAAGGCTGCTGCTGGGTAAAATCAATGAGGTACTGAAGGCTGACTGAATTGGAGAAGCAGCATTAACAGTATGAAGAGTACAGATGTTTCTGCTGGACTGAACATCCACCCAGGACATAAAATGTTACAGACTCAATTAATTTAAATGTCTGCAGAAAAAAAAAATCTTAGTTAAAGAACCAAGCAGAGAATATCTAAGATCCTGCCTTTAAAACCTCCTCAAGGTGAGAGACTGCTTACACAGTTGTAGTGGAGAATATTCACTCAAGACATAATTAAAGTTAGCTTTTTGGGCCTTTAAGCTCCCAATTTTAATGCACTCTGAAATGCAATATATTCATTCCAGGTAATTCTAAAAATGCATATTCTTCATGATGTTTAGCATAATTACAATAATAAATGCATTAACTTGCAGCTATGCAGAACAAGACAGAAACTAATATTCCCATGCCATTTGTACATTTTTCTTTTTACAGATCAGTGTAGCCTAAATTCGTGTTCTAAAGTATTTGCATGGGGTGGGATTAAGAAGGGAGACTATTAGTCTGGGGAATTTCAAACTATTGAACTTGGCTATTAAGAGAATATAAATTACCTTGTTGTTAGACTAACAGTTCCCACCATGGGGTTTCAAACAGTGACAAAGCACAACTTAAAGACCAATAAGATTAAAATAAAAAAGCAAAAAGATTTTTCTTAAGAGTGTTATGGAAAAGGAACAGGGTCTGCAAAGGTCCCTCCAGGGAAGGCAGTGTCTGGACAGGCCAGTATTTCTCATTTCGTAATGTCTGGGGAAGTGTACACTGAAGCCTAAGTCACTCTTACATGAGCACACACCTGCTCTTGGGAGACACAGAAATTCACTGCTAATGAAATGAACTTGACACAGAATTTATGAGTGTTGCATGAAAACACCTACAGAATCAGTGTACTCTGAAAACTTTCAGAGCTCCCACCAACCAGGTGTAGAGAAATTCAAGCCCCACTTCTTCCTCATTTCACCATTTAAGTTCCCATGTCTTTTGCAGAGCTAAATAAGGCATCAGAGGTGGCTGCTGTGCATGTGCTTGTGCCATCCAGCTGCAGCCCCCACCACGGGGCTCTGTGAGCCAGCCTATTCCCCAGCTCTGGGGGGAAGAAAGGCAGCAGGCAGACTGGGAGGGAACCAAATCACCCGAGGAAAACACAAAATCAGCCCATCACCTTGTGCTGAGTTATGAGCCCAGCTTGGTGTCATTCTGAAAAAAGAAGCAGCACAATCTCACCACAGCCAGTGGCTCACAAACCTGGAGACTTCTTTCTCCCTCCCCTCAGCTCTGCAGAGTGAGTAATAGAGATACTGCAGCATGCACTTGGCCCCCTCTCTCAGGCATTGTCTGAATGAGGTGACTGTACAAGTCCACTCACACTTCCCAAAAGAGAAACCCTAACAGTGTGTCATACACAGAAGGGAAATTGAGGAGACATATTTCTTCTGCAGCAGCTCTTCCCCACTTTAACCCACAAGGAGAAGATTGGTCCTACCTTTCCTTCATTCTAAGAACCTCTAACACTTCCAAAAGAAAGGACTAAGTTTGCTCTAAGTTTTCCATATAATGAATGGGAGCAAATGTAAGTTCCATCTCCTGAAAATGAAAGGTCCTTCCTTAGGTCACAACTGACTTCTCTGAACTATCAGGAGTTGATGCAGGCCCCAGTGCAGACAACCAAAAAATGGTTTGGATTGGAAAGGACCTTTGAAGATCATTGAAGTCCAAACCCAATGCCAGAAGCAGGGACATCTGTCAGTAGATCACATTGCTCCATCCAACATAAGCTTCCAGGGATAGGGCATCCACAACTTCTCTGAGGACCCTGTAACCAGTGCCTCTCCACCCTCATTGTCAAAAATGTCTTCCTTATGTCTAATCTAAATCTATGCTCTTTCAGTCAAAAAACATTGTCCCTTTTCCTGGCACTACAGGACTTGGTAAAACATCTCTACTTCTTAAAGTCCCATCTATACACTGAAAGGCTGCAAGAAGCTCTCCCTGGAGTCTTCTCTTTTCTGCACTGAACAACTCTCTTAGACTTTCTTTGTAGGATAGCTGTTCCAGCCCTCTGACAAGTTTCATTTAGGTCTCTGGGAAAACAAACATTCCAGCTTTTCTTGCAGCACCACAGCCTCATCACGCAAGAAGCTCCTCAGAAGACATCATCCCTGTTATGAAAACCCACAAATTATCATAGGAACCAGAGGCAGAATGTTTTTTATGTGTCACTTCTAACCTACTCTTTCCTCTCCCAGTACAACATTCAACCCATACAGAGTCAGGAGGGAAAAAAAAAGGAAAAAAGAAGAAAAAAAGAAGAAAAAAACCAATAAAAATAACAATCCATTATACACCACAAAACAAACAAAACCCAAACAAAAAAGGCAAAAACAAAACACCCCAATGAAACAAACAAAAAACTATACAAAACATCCCCCAATAAAGAACTAAAAAAACCACAACCAAACAAAAAAAGCCCCCCAAAAAAAGCAAAAGAAGAAAACACAAGGGAAAGCTGAGTGGTAGATGGAAGATTAAGTAGTACAATAAACAAGGTAATGCAGAGACAGGCTGCTTTACATAGTTTCTAATCCATCATTTAATTTATCCTCTACCCTCCTTTCTTTTTTTAATTTCTGTTGTCTAACATTTCATCTGCTTCTGTGAAGTCTCAGTGGTTTACTGTGACCATAGATACAATGAAATAATATCAGAATTGTGTGGGGGTGGGTAAAAACCCCAAATCCATGCCTTTTTTCAAGATGCCATACACTTCAAGCACTTTGTGGAGGTTTTATTATATTTTCCCCTCAGGGGTTGTGCCCTGTTTGTACCTTTCCTTTCTCAAACATGACAGTACTGAGAACAGTGCTCAAAACCTGAAAGGGAGAAAGCCAGCAGAATCATCCTGTCGCTGTGAAAGGTTTCCAGTGCAGCTCTGTTAGAAATGCGGGAGCTGGTGCCTTTCACAGAGGCAAAATGTCGAGTTTTGCCCTTGTGGTGCTGGCTCCCGGCCCTGCAGACACCTGGGGGACCAGGAGCTCGGAGTGGTGCCTGCCTCTGAGTGCAGCTCCTCTGTGTATGCAGAACCTCTCATGTGGGCTGCCATGCACAGCGCCCCATGCCCAACACAAGGCAGGAGAACAAACCCTAAACCAACAGCAACTAAAAATCCTCAAACCCCTTATCCACAACCCTACCCCAATCTCACTACCCCTACAACCTTTCTACTCTTCCCCACCCTGAGGAATGTGACCCTCAGGCTAAGACCCTATATTTTAAAGAGCATATAGTACAGAATCATTTTATCACATGGTAAAGACATCCCTACTCAATGCTGGCTAGTCAACAAACAAACAGTTTAAGAGAAAAAAACAATATTCTGGGAGCACCAATGCTGTCAGATGAGGAAGAAAAGGTCACCAAACGAGACAAAAAGGCTGAAATGTATGCGCAGTTTCAGTTCTAAAATAATTTTGATGTGCAGACTACTCAGTTCTCTAAAATCTAGTGCTGGGGTAGATACTACTAGAGTTCTAGTTTCAGGAAATTAATTATGTTGCAATAACATCTGTATCTTCAGAAATCATGCAACTTACATTAAAAAAACTGTATCGTTTATAATAGAAGGTTTTATGTGCTTTTTCTTTGCACTTCCAAAAAGCTGTTTAGCTCAAAGCCAGAGCTGTCTCAAAACTACAAGTGTATTGAGATGAAAAAATTAATAATTAAAAAGGGAAAAAAACCACTCAGAAGATCACAGATTTTACAATAAAAACTGGTCAGGTAATGTGGCAATTACCTGCCCAGAAAGCCATTAATGAAATTGCACAACTTGAAGCCCAACCTGCCCATTTCTCAGATGCATTTAAAAACTCCCACGCTGGGAGCTGTGGAAAACGAAACGCTGGACCTCAGCTCTCGCTGTGCCAGGATAACTGCCATGGTTATTCACACTTGAGGAGTTCAAGTCCTGCTTTCTGTTGTACCACATAAACCCTGATCCTTACTCTCAGATGCCTGAAGAAGGGGCTGGCAGGGACAGCAAGGCCCTGGGCGCACGGGCGCAGAGCGTGGCGCTGAGGAGACAGTTGGTTGCACAATGGCTGCCTGGGGCAGGCGGCGCTGCCATCTCTGGCGCATCTGCTCCCCTGCTCGTGGTTTAACGACAGGAAGCACAGCCCAAGATACCCAGGCCCAGCCGCCGGCGCTTCCTGCCCGCACTGCCAGGTCTGTCCCCTGCGCAGGCCGCGGCCGCCCACCACGAGCAGACACTCCAAGACACCTTCTGAAGAAACAGAAGAGAGAAAAACAAAGTCAATTAGGCCCACGTGCAGAAAGCCGACCAGATGGATGGAAGAAGAAGCAAACAGGTCAAATGTATTGAAATGTGGCCCCAGAAGGCCACCAAAGCAGTGCACAAAACACTGGTGCAACGTTTCATCTAGCAGGGCCCGGGACAACAAGCAGGCCACCTGTGGAGGTCTACAAGTCTGGTCTTCCTCAACCAGGCTTGTACACCACCAAGAAACCAAGTTACTTTACTTAGCAGATGAAATCTTTTAAGATTCTTTCTGAAATCTTCAGATGTGACCTACAACCAACAGGAAAAAACCCATTGCCAAATACAGTACCAGCTTTTTCTATGACCACCCTGTCCTAGGTGGTCCCTAAAAATAGGGACAGGTTAATGATCTACAGGGCTTTCCAACACTAATACCTAGAGTAACACACCTATTAGTCTCCTGCAAAATTGAAACCCTGAAGAAGCATTTGGTACTCATGTGGTAAGCACAAAAACCAACTGCTAGACAAAGCAAAACTTCAGTGAAAAGCAGAAACTCCAGCACAGCTTTAACTTCTATAGTATCTGTATGTGAAGCAATAGGCTATACTCAGCTCCTCTGTAAGTTGTCTTCTGTTCAGACTTAGATTTCCCTATAATATCATCTGTCAGAAAACATAATTTCCTTAGTCGGCCTAAAAACTGCATTTTCAGGCAGGATGAGAAATTATTCAGATAGCCTCATATCTCCATCAATGTTCTGGTGTTCTCCATCAATGACCAACTGGTGCTATAAAATGGAGGAAAACCAATTTTGTGCTGTTATCAGCAGGGCTGCCAATTAAAGCAACAGGAGACATGTCAGTCATGTAAGTTGGGAAGTACATCAACCAGTAGATATTAAATTGATTTTACACTATCATGTATTGCTGTGGTCTAGGAGAATTTTCTGCATAAACCTAAAAGCAGTACACATCTTCCCTGGATTTCAAGGAGTATCTGACACATTTTACCCTTCACAGAACCAAGGTGCTCCATCCTAACATGGTCTCTGTCCCTATCCCAAAACAGTTCAGAATAAAAATGCCTTCTCTTAGTAGAACAGCCACCTCAAAGTCAGAGGTTTGCAATTCCCTGTAAAAGAACAGGGTCGAAATTCTCCTCATTTCTAGCTAGAAACATATTCTTCAATCAGGTTCCTCTGATACAGCATATTTTGTCCCTGGCTTTCATGTGCTGCCACATGAGTTCTATGACCACTTTGGTTATTCCACAGAACCACATGTGTCCCCTGCCTTAAAAGACAATACTACATCACTCCATGTCACTGAATGCTTCACCACTTCATGCCTTGGAAATCAGAATGAAAGCCCTAAACTAGGACCCATCAGACACTAAGAAAACGTTTGCTTCAGCAGCATTTCTGACATCCACTTAAGACATACGTCCCACCCTTGACAAGTACTCAAGTAATCCCAAGCAGCCAACAAATTTAAAAAAAAAAAGAAAGATACAAAAAGTAATGGTTGCTCAAAAGCCTTTCTGAACAAAAAAGCCTTGCAGCATGAACTGAACCTTACTAAATTTTGCTGGATTGGCAAAAGGAGAACTGAAAAAAAAAAAGTATTTTCCATCTCAGATTCCAACAATACTATGTAGCCAACAGCATTTTGCAGATTTGCTTCTTAGTTCGTAAGTCACGTTGGTCATATCTTGCAACATGTACTGGCAGGATTTAATGTTTTCCTAAGAAAACTGGGGTGGCAGATGCTGACACTGGTCCAGAAATGGTTTGCTCTCAAGCTAGATATTCTTTTTAACCCTGAAAGTTCATCTGTGTCCAACACAGAACAACAGATTTTATCACAGCAAACATTTCAAAATTCTCATACATATTTATTTTCATGATGTATTACTATGGTACTAACTCCAAGCATAACAAACACAAAAAGTAATATTTACATGCAAATTCAAATATTTTATATGAATTATAGATTATTCACTTAGAAATTTAATGTAAGGAGCATAGGGCTAATATAAGAGGGGGAGGGGAATATCCATTTATAAATTAATTTGTGACTCTTTAAAATCATCTAAGTTTCCAAGCTCTGTACAGTTGAAGCAAAAATGAAAAGGTAAATGTTGTAGTATTTACATTTATAGAAGCAAAACAAAAATCAGGATGACTTAATTTCTAAAAGATTGAAAATGTACTCCTCAAGACTGCTGCTGCACAGCATCAAGAAGGTACCCACACGCTCCTGCATTTGTTCATCTGACTCACTTACAGCTAACAGGAGGAGTGGTCTCCACAGTGGCTTTTCCAGCAGAACAGCTGTGAGTCAACTTGCCTTATGTCTTTGCACCTAACAGCCCAACTGCCTGGCTCCAGTGTGTTTTTTCGGGAAGGTAGGAGGGACCACACCTCACCAAAGCACTGTAAGAAGAGAGGAGCAAAAGCGAAACTGAGCTGGCCGACAACCGCTGACCAGGCTCCCCAGACAGAAAGAAAGAAACTGCCTCCGTGGATTTCTACTGGTTTTAACCAGCTTCAGCAGAGGGGAACATGATTTTTAATTCTACCATATCCCTTTAATAAACACCCCAAAGAAGATATTTTCCAGACAACTGAGGAATTTTTTACAGTGTTGACTTACCAAGCAGAGCACAATAACCAGCTATTCTGTTTGCACTACAAGGCAGTACAGTGCAATGAGTTAATAATTTATCATGGCATTGCTCTTGGCAACTGACCATAATCAACTTCTAAAATTCTTCCTCATTCTTACATTTTTAGTCTCAGCAAGAATATGGCAACCTTAGAACCTCAGCCCTACCAGAACACTTCTTAGCCAAGGTAAGAGGTTTAATCTTCTCGAACACCTGCTTTTCTTCTGCATTGTTTCAGGCTCAGAGCAAAGGTCATCATTTCATTTCAATAACCTGATTTAGCAGACAGGAATAACTAAAATATTTTTAAACAAAGCAAGAAGTTAACATTCTTTCAAAACTGCAGCAATGCAGTTCTCATCCCTGCGTTTCCTTCCCGTTCTTCTCACAGAAGTAAAAAGAACAAAAAAGCCCAAGCTTCTGTCTTCACCAAAAGCTTTTATTTGCACGTGATCCCAAATTAACAAGCACATACCTTTTCCTCCCATTTTATATTATCAAGGCTTATTCCTTTACATAACTTTGGGCAATATTTAATTTATCAGTTAACACATTCTTCTTCTCAATCAGAAGCATCCAGCTATGGTGCTCAGATAATTCATTGGAAAACAAGTTTTGATGTGACATGTAGAAGAGAGTTATGTCAATCATCCTAAGTATTGCTTTGCTGAAGCATTGGCCAAGAAATGTGGTCCACTTCCAAGGACAACTGTGCTACTTCGTCCTTTCCCTTGTTGCTCAATCCCAGCTCTTACAAACTCCATAGCTCCACCACTCTGAAATCAATCCCTAACCTGGTTCAATCAACCAGCCCAGCAACTTCTGTGGCATTGACATCTGACTTGCCAACTTGGCTCATCTTGGCTGAACCAGATAAGGAAAAGGTTGCTCTCGCAAGCAGCTTGGTCTGCGAATAGGAGGGGAAGGCAATAAAGCACTAGAAAACAATCTATGCTGTCAGCGAGAAAAAATGAGGATGGCAGTCCTCAAGCAGCTGGATGAGTGCTCCTGCCAAGAAAACATCCAGGAATGACCATGCCCACCTCTGACTGTTTTGCTAAAGGCACATTTTAAATTAAATTAGACTGGTGCAGGTTCGCACGCTCACAAAGACGTTGGTCTAGAGTTTAAACTGCAACTTTACCTCAACTAATACAGCTTTACTGTTGAGTCTTACCTAAGGGCAAGCTAAGGGCCTGGGCAGATGCTAAATGAGCTGTTTAAGGATTTACAACCCATCACCTCCAGGAGCATTCACTATCCGAGTAAAACTTGCTTAGCCCAAACCTCCCTCCTGTGCTCCAGGGCACATCCATGCAAACCGCGGCTGCATGGCTTTAATGGGATGTGCCACCAAGCCAGCAGGGAGGTTACACAAGCTGCCTTCACTTAGGAGTGAAAAAGCAGCTGGTGTGAGGCTGAAGAACCTCCAGTGTGCACCTAAGCTCTGTAAGCACATGGTATGTGAAAATACCAGAGCCAGCATCAAGGCATTAGCATTATTGTCCCATCTAGTTAATAAATACCAGGCTTGCTCACGACAGACAGTGTAACAGGTTCTCTGAAGGCAGTCTCTGTCAAAAAGAAACTACTTTCTCCGCACAGCGGAGGTTTCACCCCACCTAGAGATCCTCACTTAAGGCAGCAACAAATGAACCAACCAAACTTCACACTGATTTTTTTTCTATTTTCTTTTTTTACTGACATGTTGCATCTGTGCAGCATGCATGCATCAGTAGTCCTGAGTTCCCTCTCTCAAGGCAATGGGATTTTACCCAGCTAGCTCTCTGCAAGTAATAACTGCTACCATCTCTCCCTTCAAAAGCACAGATTTCACATTATCATATATCAATAAATGTCATCACAGCTTTTCTGTTTATGAAGTGTAAAAGTACAAATTAACAAAATGCTTCTGAAGCCACCTGAACACATGGCACCCATAAGAGACACTTTAGACATTAAAGACACCAGAATCTATACACAAAATATACCCTTCTAGCTACATTGCTTCAAAAGTATTAAACCTTTTCTGCAAATGCCCCTGTTATAATTAAAAAAAAAAAAAAATTAAGTCCAAGATCTTATCTTGTAGTTTGGCAAAAGTTTTTCAATATTTCTTACTGTTGAGAATTATTTCTAGTCCAGTACCATTGAAACAAGATTTGAAGGACCATACTAAAAGACAATTAGGTCTTTATAAAAACAAATGGTAGAACGTTGCATTACATCAAGCATTCATAATCAGATATATGTATTTCAGAAGTACCCAAATAGGAAAATATTCTGTCAAAAGTAACTTTCTTTC